ATAATTGTTATCATGTAGTGTAAAGATATTTGGAAATTTTCAAAAAAATTGTCTTTATCATTTTTTTCGTATTACTCTAAAAAATGCAAAAGTCAATTTTTCTGAAACTTTTTTACAATTTTTCCGTTTTTTTTCCGGAAATTTTAAAACAAAATAATATTTAAAATCTTAGATATTGTTAAATATCTCTAAAATTATTAACTTTATGTATAGGGAATAGTAACATCAGTCGAAAGGTTTTTTAATTTACTTTTTGATTATGTAAAAACATACCGTGTGTTATATTTAAAACAAAAAGGGTTATTAACCTTTCAAGTTTCAATTTGCCCTGGGTTTCCTCAGGAAAAAAATGTTACATAATTGACATGGAATCTTTTAAACAATGTTTTAAGATTCCAAAATTTTCACCGTCATATCCGCAAACCTAATAAAAATAAAGTTATAAGCTATTTATGATTCACGCGCATTTGTCAAATTTTAACAAACAAAAATTAATACATCGAAAACTATTCACTCTAGGTACAGGACATGGTATATTAATTTTGCTCAGAATATACAATTTAAAAATGTAAAGCTATATTCGGTTAAACCGGAAGTATGATTTTGTTTAAAATATTTTAGAAAAATAGACTTAAATGGATTATAAACGCTTTTAAAATTTCAAATCTATCTTTTTTTCTTTTTTTGAATGTGAAACACTCTGAATAACAAAAACAATATTGTAATCATAATCATAAATTATCGTTTATTTTATTAAACCATATTTCAAAGTAAAATTTTACGATAAGTAATATTATTTAGAACATTGTGTAAAGCTCAATAAAATTCGGTACCAGTAAAATTAAATTCCTTTGAAATAGTGCTAAAATAAACTTTTACGCCATGTCGTTACCTTGTTTTATTTCAAAGGTTTAAAAACAAATGATTCTATGAACAGCCATTTAACATGCTTATTGCTACCTCGCAGGAATAATAAAATATTGTTTGTGTTGTTGTTTTTAAAAAATCCCCTGGCAATTTTAATGTTTATTTACATTGGATTTTCTTAGCCAAGGCTTTTAGAAAGGTGAAGATGTTTTTCAAATATTTTTTTGCAAATCATTATTTTAATTGAAGGATTTTTATTTGAAATTGCCTTACCAATCATAAACGTATTTTATCTTAATGTGTGTTGATTGTATACCTAATCATACTAATTTGTGTAGAACAATGGGTGAAAATATTAGGCGATTACCGAATAAATATTTTGTTGTACTTGTACATATTTCCATGACACATACATATAAAATTCGGTATTTTGTATAGATGTCGCTCTATATGAATATTTAAATCAAGTTTAATATTTTTTTAATCGGTTGTCTATCTATATTTTACATTTAATTTTACAAAAATTACACCAGATGCACAAGAGTTATTGACAATATTTATTTATTATGAAAAGTATACGGAAATACCGCTTGTTTGTTTTAAAAATTCCCCTTGTTCGATACGCGATAAGTTGATTTGAATATCTTTGTTCATAACAATTCTGTCTAGCCAAACTGTTTATTTATATTCCGATCATGTAACATTTAAGTGGACTTTGGATTTACGTCTACCCTATTGAAAATGCCATATAGAACCCATATTGAATCCGATAAGGAAACGTATCTGGTTCTATATGGTTTTATAGGTCCTATATGGAAAGTCCTGGTTTACATTACGAATTCTATATGGTTGAATATGGATTTCCATTTTAAAAATTTTCATATTCAACCATATAGGGAAACCTATCTGGAAATACATATAGAACAGAAACCAGATAATTCCATATACAACCATATACATGTCTTTATAAAGACATGTATATGGATGTATATGGATTTATCTGGTTTCTGTTCTATATGTATTTCCAGATAGGTTTCCCTATCTGGTTCTATAGTGTTTTAGAGTGTTTTTATCTGGTTCTATAATGTAATCTTCTATCTGGTTCTATAGTGAAATGCCTGTTTCAAATACCTATATTGAACCAGATAGAAACCATATAGAATCCAGATATGTGTTTTTATATGGTTCTATATGGCATTTTCAATAGGGTATATTTAGAAATTTATTCAAAATTTGAAAACGTGAAAATTTTGGGACTTTGGTTGGCAAATTCTAGGGACCCTAAATTTATAATAAGCACATTGAGTAAAACAAAATTATTTAGTGGATTTATGCATCACCAATTAATTATTTCATAAAAATGCTGTTTTATTTAAAAAAAAGATTTCTTTTAGAATTTTCTCTTGTCTTTGGCGTTGTTTATTATATTCTAATAATTATACAGGGTGGTCCAGGATTAATCTGAAAAATTTTAATGATCGATAGAGCCTGAAAAAACAATAAAAACAAACCCAAAAACATTTTTTAAAAATACACACTAACACACTAATAGCCCTTCAAAGGCAAAAAAAACGTTTTTTTTTTAATAAAATTTCTTACAAAAGGTCCAGCGGCGGAGATTTTGGGGGGGTTTCCCCTTTTTACCCCCATATTTTGACACCACTGGATTTTATTGGAAAATAATCAGATTTCTTATTCAATTTAGAAGCAAAACTTGTGTGTTAAGTTTTCATAAGATTAGTGGTTTCGGAGACTTTAAAATTTCGAAAACACCGAGTACACGGAATTTTATCATATTTTATTTTAAATTGGTAACAATTATGCCACGTTATCAGTTTATAAAATATTTTAAAAATAAAGTAGCGTCCAGGAGTCATCGTGCAGTTGTTACTGAACCCGTCATATTTTTAGGTTGTTTTATTGTAACGTTGATTGAGGATTGCAATCAACGTCTGTAATTAATAATTTAATTGTATTATAATACAAAATCAAACCAACCCAAAAACCACCCTATTGAAAGCGATTATTCCATTATTTCATTGGTAAATTTTTATTGGCCCAATACAATCGTTCAGAAAAAAAATAATTTTTTATTACTAAAATAGTAACAAAAGTTCCGGGTACACAGTGTTTTTGAAATTTTAAACTGAAATATCTTCGAAACCATTGATCTGATAAAAAATAAACATAAAAGTTTTGCTTTTAGATTGAAAAAGGATAAAATTAAATCTGATGATTTTCTAATAAAATCCAGTGGCGTCGAAAATATGAGGGTAAAAAGGGGAAACCCCTTCCAAAATCTCCGCCACTGGGCCTTTTGTAGGAAATTTTCATTATATTATCGACGGAAGCTTAACCTACACAAAATTTAAGAAGAGTCGGTTTGATGGTTTAAAAATTATTTTGAAGGACTATATCTCCGTTAGTAAGCATTTTTGAAAAATGTTTTTGGGTTTGTTTTTAATTTTTTTTCAGGCTCTATCGATCATGAAAATTTTTCAGATTAATCCTGGACCACCCTGTATAATAACTGCAAGGTAAAATTAAGTCACTAAACAGGAGTACCAATTTTAAATATTAAAAATACAAAAGTACCTACCTATATTGATATACAGTACCAACATAATCAAATGTGTCGAATTCCGAATAAAAAAACCAAAATCAACATAAATTTTCATTTTCCAAAAACTCTATACAGACTGTATAGAATCAAGTAAGTAAGGCTGGAGACAATGATGACAAATTATATTCTGATCAGAGAAAAAGAAACAAACTTTAATTGGGCGTGGTTTAAACCAAGCCATTCGTAATTACGAACCATAGTTGCCAGGTTGTTTTAAATCAGAAGAGAACGATTATAATTATTTAATAAATAGTTCAGTTTTATTTTTTTGAAACTTTAAAAATAACAAAAAAATTAATAATATGTCAAAAATAATTTGATTTATTTAATTTTCTTACTTTTAATATTAAAAAATAAGAAAAACAACCCTTTTAGGAAACAATAATAGCATATGGCAACAGCGCGGCATGCAGCCAGATACAAGGGCATGCAGTTTGATCTACTGTGTTTGTTTAGTAGTTCCGACACTGTCGTAGGGAAATGTGTATAGTTTTTAAGAAATACATTTTCGCCATTAACTGGAATTTAATGGATTTTAAACAATACTTGGTTTTTATTTGCAGAAATGCATTAAAACAAAACAAACGAATTCGATAAAAATAAAACCTATAAATTCTCAAACAAAAATAATTCTAAAATAACAAAAATAACTTTTTTTCCAAATTAAATGTTCAAATAATCATAAATCATAAAAATTCCTGCGCACGTTAAACAGCATTTCAGGACTAATATCTCCCAATGTATTAAAGATTTGCACCCTTAATTTATCGAGATTATTAGCCCTGAGCTCTTAAAATCCATAAATTTTCGACTTGACGTATCCCCACAAGAAAAAATTCAATCCCTACCACAGTGGGCGGGGTTTGGCACTTGTTTTATTTAAGTGTATCTATTCGTTTTAATACACACTGTATAGAAAAAACGAAAAAACATATTGACCTTGTCGTACAACATTTACAAAAAATAATAAAAAAAAAACCGTTAAATTTTGTATAAGAAAAGTAGAAATTTTGCTGGTTATTCCTGACCTATGACAACTAAAGCAAAATATGCTTGCACAGTGGGCAATAATCTACATTCATTAAAAATTTATATTTGTGTTATCATTGATTACTTTGTTGATAATTGTTTTTTGTTTTGCATACTCAGCTATTGTTAGGTACTTTGAATAAAACAATACTTACTTTTTATTGCTATAGCAATAAAAAGTAAGTACCTATAGGTAAGATACCTATAGGTATCTCGAGGTTTCCGTGGTTTTCCCGCCGATTTTAAATTTCACCTTTTACTTTTTACGTCGGCTAATGCTCATGTAGCTATTGTTGAAGTTGACAGCGGCGTAGAAAATTATGATGCGTCGCTTTTGCTATCATATCCAGATGATTTCGGAGTTCATCTGATAACAAAGTAGCTACTAACAGATTTTGAACACATACCTGTCTCTTTTTTGCTTGCATGTATAATATCATTGTTTTTTACAATTCTTGACTTCATTTTCTTCTTGTTTCAGTGATGACAAAAACTCATCTCTGAGCGACACCATGAAAATGGGGCCTTTCGCGAACGCAAACCCCGACACGCGCAAAACCTCGAAACCTTCGGACGAAGAACCCGAATTGATCATCCCTTTCAATCGACTGCTGAAAATATCGCCGGACTTGACGAGCAACAAGGAGAACGAGGAGAATCAGCCGACCAACGGGCAGAAGGTAGCGACGGAAGAGAGCAGAACGGCAGTGGACGAGAACAGGAACGGAAAAAGTTGCAAGGAGTGCAAGGAACAGCAGCAGAAAGAGGGAGGCAACGGCAAAACTTCGACGACGGACAGCAGAAGTTCCGCGCTCACGATGTTCTCGACGAACGACGACTTCATTATGGTAGACTTGGTAAATTTTTTTATGCTGAATGCTGCACGTTTTACTAACAACTTATATACAGTGACCGCCATTTTTGTAGAAGCTATGACGTCATCGGTCGTTTTTTTAAACTGTACGCCCTTTTTTTGCATATTCGAATAGATTATGAAATTCTGAATTTAGCAATATGCACATGTGTATACCTTTTGGGTGAAATTGGATTTAAAAAAAATTATTTCCAAAAAAATATTTTTATCTTCATGAAAATTATTTTGTCAATTTTAGTGTCTTCACTAATACTCGGACGGCCATTTTTTCGACTATTTTTTTTTGTAAAGTATATCAAAAATATTGTTTGGGGTGACAAAAAAAAATTATTGTGAAAATTTGAGTCCATAATATATAATATATTAAGCAATTAAAAAAAAAATCCCGAGCGAGTTTTTGTCTCGGAACTCCCAAACCATAGAGTTTAAAAAATTGACATATATTTTTGCAAGGAAATTGAATGCTCTACAAATTAGGTCTAAATGAAATTTTCCGTCAGATGGACCGTTTCCTTAAAATCATTCCTTATAATGTGGTATAGTTTTACAATTTGATCTTTTCTTTGGAATTTTGTAATTCATGTAAAAATCAGTGCCTGGAAAAAAACGATAAATATTCTTATGAGAAATCAAATGCTATACAAAAAAAGTTTTTTGACTAAATTCACTCAATCAAAAGTTATTCAAGTCGAAACGAAATTCTTGTTTTTTCCTCTGTAGAATTATTTTTTTATGGATGATAATTTTTTTCTTTATAAATGTGTATTATATAACTAATTAATAATTTCCAATAAAAAAATAACATGATTGTTATTATTTAAACAATTAAATAACAGTGAAAATGATATTTTCTAAAGAAAATAGCTTCTTAAAGCGATTTTTTTTTTAATTTTCAGTAATTTTTTCAATAACATAAAGATTATCATCGATAAAAGAATTCAAGTTTTTAACTGACACAAAAAAAAATCTACAGCTGAAAAAACAAGAATTTCGTTTTGGCTTCAACTTTAACCTTGAATAACTTTTGATGGAGTTTATTTAGCCAAAAATGTTAAGAGACTTTTTTTGTAGAGCATTTGATTTCCCATAAGAATATCTATCGGTTTTTTTCTAGGGTTTTAAAATTTCCGGAAAAATTGAGCCAGCGGAAAAAAACCGGTTTTTTTTTCGAAAAAAAAACGGAAAAATTGGAAAATTTTCAGAAAAATTGACTTTTTAATATTTTAAATTTTATTCAAAGGGTAATACAAAAAAAAGCAAAAGTTAATTTTTTTGAAAATTTCCAAAGTTTTACGGAAAGTATCCGTACACTGATATCGAGAAAAAAAATGTCCGATGCTGATTATAATCATATAATATTATAATTATAAAAATTATTTCTTTTATTCAGTAAGTTATTAATTCAGTAAGAATATTCTACCGGGCCGCAAAAAACATATTTGGTGCTATATTAACATACATTTTATTTAATACTTCGATTTATAAAATTATAATTCCATTATATAAATCATTCATTATTTTATAAATATTTTTAATGGACTCCTTTTTGCAACAAAAAAACCCAACAGACAGTATATTTCACGTTTACGTTTATTTTCTTAAATTTAATTTAATGTTTAGTTTTATTTTTTTTTATTTAAAACTTGTCACTTTTTTTCAAATGTGTATATTTTCCAAAAAAAAATCAATTTTTCCCAAAAAAAAGCCAATTTTTCCAAGGCCTGGGAAAAACGGGAAAAAACAGGTTTTTCCCCCAATTTTTCATGTTTTTTTCCGACACTTTTAAACCCTAATTTTTATGAATTAAAAAATTCCAAAGTTAAAAGATCAAATTGTAAAACTATACCAATTTTTAAGGCATGATTGTAAGGAAACGGTTCATCTGACGGAAAATTACAATCAGACCTTTTTTGTAGAGCATTCAATTTTCTTCAAAAAATATTTTTAAGTCAATTTTGTTAAACTTAATGGTTTGGAAGTTATGAGACAAAAACTCGCTCAGGAAAAAATATATAAAATTGCGATGATAGACCTCTTAATATTAATATTATGGACTCAAACTTTCACAATATTTTTTTTGTTACCCCAAACAATATTTTCGTTATACTTTACAAAAAAAAATAGTCCATTGTCCAGTCTCCCTGAATTTCCAAACTTCTTGTTGTGTTCTAATTTTATTGACACATCCTATGAGAATAAAACTTCAATCCTCTGTGTTTCTGTTAAATGGTCCATATTTAAATACTTCGAAATATTTGGAGAACGCTTAAGAGACAGATACTTCACTGAATAATAAAAAACCTTTATATATTGACACTTGCTATTTGTAGAATAATAAAAAACAATAATAAACTGAAAAAGTTTGACTTTGAAATTAAATATTTTGAGAAAGTTTCTTCTATAAACACTTTTTAATTTTATCGACCCCCATGAAAAAGTATTTAAAAAAACTATAAAACTTCAAAACATTATTAAAAACTATAAATTTTCCACTTTTAATAATTAATATCTCCAAAACTATCAGTCCAAATGGATAAATGTGCATATTGCTGAAATCACAATTTCTTAATCTATTAGAATAAAAAAGAGTACAAGTACAAGTACAATTTAACAAAATGGCTGATTACGTCAGAGACTACAAAATGTGCGTAATTGAAAAAAAAAGCCGAATTTTTTAATGAATTTGTTCCATACTTTTGTCGGTCACTGTATATTATTATAGTTATTAAGGGGGCTAAATGGGGATGTTCTTCTAAAAACTTCCGTAAAAATTCAATCTTAAATTTAGACATTGCACTGGATTAAATATTTGCAACAAAAACTTTTTTTGTTAAAATCATCCAGGGATTGCGCTCATTCAGTGTTGGCACCCGATTAAGAAACACTCTGTATAAATCGTTTATTCGGTCGTTGGCTTCCTTGGTCTCGGGTCGTCATCATTTAATTGCGCCATTAGCCATTTGAACTTAATGCATATGCAAGCATACGCAGAGAAGAACGAAATAAATGAAAATGCAAATGCACATTTCATTAATATATGTATACGTTTTGTTTGTTACGCAATTGGGCCATCGATTGTTCTTCCCTTTTCTATGCCGTGATTATGGAAAATTTAATTCATTTCGAATTAATGGAATTATTATTAAAATTTACATTTTTTGACAACAAATTAAATATATTCATAAAAAAGAGCTATTTTGGTTCTTACTACAGTTTTTTATAATTTAATAAACAGCAAAGTTTCAAATTGCAAAAAATCAGAATTTTGTTCGTGTTCCACACCATACTCGATACTGATGAGCTCCAATATCGATGCTGGTGAGGAACACGAACGAAATAATTGCTATTTAAATCTCAAAAATTTTTGATTTATTGCTAATATATATTTAATGGAGGAAGATTATGTAGAAACTATTTTTTCAAGTAAGTTAATTTATGAGGCTTTCGCAGAACCATTTACAACTGACATTTAATACATGGATTATCTGAAATTGATTTTCCTCTTCATTTTATTTTCATTTTATTATAAGCCATAAATTTTCCCATTTGAAGAGTACTTAATAATGAAAATACTCTGTTAAATATCTATGAAATACAATGTTGTTCATATACTATTTGATTATTTCTTTAGTTGTTTTTTAGATATATAATTTTTGCAAAAAACTTTCATAGATGAATTGACTAACTAAAATGTTAGTATTACAATGTTCATTCTTGGTATACACATGAACAAAGTATCCTATCAGGAGGAATCAATAGTATTCCAAAATGTTGGTGTTTGGTATATCCGTTTACTTTTAGCCACTTTAAATGCCAATAGAGATTTTACATAAATGTGACCACAAGACCATACGGGATATATATACTTTAAAACAAAAATATTAAATTTTTCACCCCAATACTTCATGTGTGGAAAGTACAATTGAGGAGCATCCGTGCAAAACCGGCTAAATCCATTTTATTCAGTTTTTGGTTTTTTTCTGATTTCGCATCTTTTGGTTCATTTCTATCGACAACCAAGATAATTCTGTTTAAATCCGACTATATCCATGTTAAAATCACATTTAAAAGGTAGCTTTAGGAGCAAAACCGGCCAAATCCACGTTTTTATAGCAAACCCGGCTATATCCAATAAATAATAATGATGATGAGCATGTGGCTTGGATATGTCGATACTACTACTAAAATTTGTACTGTTTTTTCATGTTTGCACTTAATTTATTTTGTTAATATTTTTGAATAATAAAGGTTTTTTTTCACATTTTATTCGGTTTTTGAGCAAAACCGGCTAATAACAAAACATTTTTTTAAATTTTGGCCTTAATATAAAGTTTTTGAAAACGAAAGTATGTCTTATAAATCAAGTACCACAAAGCCCACAAAACTCAAGTTTGCTTTTTCTTTTATCTGTAAAGGCCAGGAAACCAAAAGTTTTTGCCATTTTCCCAACATTTTATTAAAGTGGATATAGCCGGTTTTGCACGGATGCTCCTCAATTATTTGCAAGACAGATTTGATATTTTTTCATGTTATGTTCAAATAATAAGGAGTATTACTATAAATACCTAATTTATTTATCTTTCCTTACAATATTATTGTGTTTTTGTTTTGCCATATATTTGATATTTAAAGTGTTTTTTTTTGTGTCTCAACTTTGTTATGTATATTTCATGTGAATTTATATGTACATATAAGGCTAAATATGTAATACTTGTTTAAATTTTCTCATCTTGTCATTGGTCCAAGTATGATGATGTATTAAATAAATAAATAAAAAATAAATAAATAAATATTATTTTTAGATCAGTTAATTTCTAACAAAAGTATGTAGTGATTATTTATAAAAAAATAAATTTTCTTATTTAAAAATTTAATTAAAATTGCTGTCGACTACAGTGTAATCAATTTGTTTTCCTAAATCATTTATGTGAATAATATTATAATAATAGAAATATTAAATATAATTCAAGTATTAAGTTTTCT